GCGAATGCATGCAAATAACTGAGAATAGCATGTAGCCCACAGAGGCATTCAACAAATGCTTGTTATAATTAGCATTATACATATTACACGTAACTATCCCTACCCATATAGTGGTTAAGGGTTTGGACCCTGGATTTACACTGCATGGGTGGAGATCCTGACTGCACCATTTACTGGGTGACCTTGGGCAAGCTACTTAACCTTTCTGTTACCTGTTTCCTTGTCTATAAAAAGGGAGTAACCTAAATGAGACAATCTAAAATGAGACTGTCCATGTAAAGCACACAGAAAGGTGCCACACGCACGGTAAGCTGAGCGCTCAGCAATCATCAGCCGCGTGGCTTCTATGCCCTGCAGTTTGCACACCCCCAGCCTCTGCCTGGGCCTCAGCCTGAAACTGCAGTGCTAACTTTTTAACGGTATTCACCTCCTAGGTCCACGTCCTTCAGCAGTTCCCACTGATGAGCCCAGAGGGAAATACCTCCCCCATCACAGCTTCCCACAGCACTCCCAACTGGCAACCCATGTTACAAGTATCTGGATGTGAGCATTGCTGTTTCCCTCGCTTTGAGTCCGATCTCAGCAAGGCCGGGTCCTGTATCTGACCCAGGTTTACAGCCTTTGCAGCATCTTGCAAAGGTCGGGCATAGACATTGTGGAAAGAAGAGAATCTGAAAGGTAGGAGCGGAGGGCTAACGAATAATGCATGGCCTAAATATCCCCTCTGGGTATACATCTGAGACGCAGGAGAGGATCAAGACATCCATACGTTAGGAATATATCCTGACTGCCTGTCTTCCTCTTTTAACCCTTTGTTTGATTAGTTAGTTGCTTCGCCCATTCATTCAACAGACATTTACTCCTGACTATTTCCTTTACATAAAGCACTCTGCTAGGCACAGGGCATAAAAGAAAGCCAGGTCTGTATGCTTCCAGAGCTCACATTCCAGTGGGGAGACAGGCAGGTCAATATGCAATGAAGGTAAAGCATGACAGGTGTGATTTGTTCCACACATATTTACTGCGTGCTAAGGCCGAGCCCAACCACACGCTCAGCGCTGGGATACGGCTGTGACTCTGCCAACAATACCACCCTCACGAGGTCACAAGCAAGGAAGACAGAAAATAAACACAGTGGTTCTAAGAAGGGTGAAGCAAGGAAGGAAACAGAGCTGAAGACTGGTGAGAAAAGGGGTTATTTCTTAACAGGGTGTGCAAGGCAGGCCTCTCTTCTTAGGTGGCATTTGTCTGGAGAATGGCCCAGCCCAGCCCTGGAAACCAGGGACGTTTCCTGAAGGAAGCAGGTCACACAGGAAGGAGTCTTTAAGGGGACCTTGATGAGGGGGCTCTGGAGCTCTGGGTGGAAGGGTCTTCCTGCTGCCCATCCGATGTGGGCCCGACTCCTTGAGGCCACTGTCACCGGCTGAGGAATGATGAGGAAATACAGCATCTCATCTGGCTGACATGAACAGAGCTCTGGGAAATGCCAGCACCCAGGGGCTCCGTGAACAAAAACCATAGGGACACTGGCGAAACCATTCAGTTGCCCAGGGGGGACAGGCAAGAACTCATCAGCAGGGGAAGAACACCGTCTAGGACCCAGTGGTGTTTATGGGCACGAGTACTGTGAAAACAACAGCATGAATCAATGGTCACCCAGGCCACCCTGCCATCTCAGTTCTGGGCAGGAGTCTCCATCCTCACTGAATGGGGACCTAGGTCAGGGCCACGCGGCCAGCCGAGCCAGGGTCTTCCCTCCAGCCAAGAATGTCTGAGCACAGGGAGGGGGCTAAACACAGCCAAGGGAGAAAGGACACAAGGCAAAAGAGTAAAATCTCAGCACTGTGAGCCTCTAAGAGGAAATACTGGTTCTTGCTTATCCTCACTCCTGAGTCAAATGCAAAAGGTAGGAAAACACGTCTATAAAAACAAAGCTCTTTAAAATTACAATTCTCCAAGGGTTCCTGGGTGGCTCAGCTGGTTAAGCATCCGACTTCGACTCAGTTCATGATCTCGTGTTTCATGAGTTCGAGCCCTGCATTGGATTCTGTGCTGAGAGCTCAGAGCCTGGAGCCTCACTCCCTCTCTCTTTGCCATCCCTCGCTCATGCTGTTTCTCTCTCTCAAAAATAAACATTAAAAAAAAAAGTATGATTCTTCAGTTATCTATGCAAAGTCAAGACAAAATTCAATGAAACCTCTCCTTTAGCTTATATTTTTAACGTTTTATTATAGAAAATTTCAAATATACAAAAAGAGAGACTGGCATAATGAACCCCAATGTCCCAATCATCCGGCTTTAAAAATTATCAACTCACGGGGCAACTCACTGACAATTTCATTTCAACCCTACCCCGTCCACTAGCCCTCATAGGATTTTATCTTCATATACTTCTTTATTATTATACTTATTATTATAAATATTTAATATACTATTAAATATTACATATGTACACATATAGATACATCTTTATATATGAGTATGTTTTAAATAATAAACAGATTATCATTCTCACACTTCATTTTTTTCCCCATGCTCACACTTTAAAAAACTAACAAGATTGCCTTAACATCATCACATATACAACCACAATTCACATTTTCCCAGTTAATTCAGTTTTGGGGGTTATTTTTTTTCAAATGTTTGTTTATTTAATTTGAGAGAGACTGATAGAACACAAGTGGGGGGGAGAGAGAGAGAGAGAGAGAGAGAGAGAGAGAGAATCTCAAGCAGACTCCACGCTCTCAGAGCTGAACCCAATGCAGGGCTTAATCTTACAAACCATGAGATAATGACCTGACTTGAAATTAAGAGCCAGAGGCTCAACTGACTGAGCCATCCAGGTGCCCCTATTTTTTTTTTAACAGTTGGTTTGTTGGAATCAGGATTGAAATGAGATCTGTATATTGCATTTGGCTGATTTGTCAGTCTTCTTCAGTCTGTAGGTTCCCTCTTCTCATTTTTCTTAAAATCTACTAATGGATGAAATGGAGTCCTGAAAAATCTGCCATATTCTGGATCTGGGATCTGACAGTGTGTCTCCCCATGGAGTCGCTAACACGGTCCCCTGTCCATGAATTTCCTATAAGCTAACAGTTAGTGTTACAGACCGCATGTTGTGTCTCCCAGAGCTCATGTGTTGAAACCCTAACCCCTAATAAATGGGATGGTCTTGAAGGGGAGCCTTTGGTAGGAGATTAGGGTAAGATGAGGTCACAAAGGTGGCATTCTCATGATGGCATCAGGCCCCTTATGAGAGGAGGGGCCCAGGGATTTCTCTATGTGTGGGAAAGTCAAGTGAGAACATGAACAGGAGAAGGGCCCAGGCCAAGAACCCAGCCATGATCATACCCTGGATGGTGGACTTTCCAGGATTATGAGAAATAAGCTTCTGTTTAGTAAGTCACCCAGTCCATGGCCTTCTGTTACTGCAGCCCAAACTGACTACAGCAAATTCAGAGGCTACATCGATGAGACTCAGGGTGGAAGCAACATCTCACAGTGACGATGGTGTTCTTATTGGGTCGCATCAGAAGGCAAGTAACACCCAGTTGTCTCTTTCCCTGCAATGCTAAGACCGACTTGAGGGAGGGTCCCATTCCAGGTCAGAAGCAGTAATCACACCCACTCCACCTCTGTCACTGCGTGCAGCTGCAATAAAAACCTGGCCAAATACATGGTGCAGCTATTTTTAGATTCTGGAAAGTAAATATGAGTAGACCAACTGGGAAGAGGACCGAAATTCCATCTATCACTGAAATTGTGGTAAGTTTACTATTCCCTCCTTCCCCTAGCAGCGTCCCAGGAAACCAGAAAGTATCAGAAAGACAGTGTTGGAGGGGGAGGAACGTGGAAAAGCAACCCTAGAGCATTATTTATGAACTTCTAGGCTGATCCCCGGTCTGCACGACCATGGATCTGGTCCTAATGAGCATACCCAGGACTTTGCGAACCAAACTCATAGACCACTGCCCAGGGCCCAGACACAGGAGGTGGCCAAGCACCGCACAGCCAAACAGCAGTGCAAAAACAGTTTGAAATCTATTACAACGGCAGTGCACAGAGTGCTGGTAGGAATCTGTGGCCTGACCCAACAGAGTCATCTGCTTACTAAAACAAAAATATAAGCATTCTCTGCAGGACTGACACAAAACCCAGAGGATCCTACATAATAATCAAAATATCCAGAATATAATCCATTGCCTTGCGAATAATCTGGAAAATCTCAATTCTCTCAGGAAAAGATCATCAACAGACATCGATGCCAAGACAAGACAGATGTTGGAATTATGTGACAAAGGCTTTAGAGCAGCTATTACAGAAAGACTCTAAAAAGCAATCACACAAACTCTTGAAACAAATGGAAAATACAAAGTCTCAGCAAAGAACCCAGAAGGTATAAAGAAGAACCAAAGAGAAACTTTAGAACTGAAAAACACAGTGACGAAAAAACGAAAGAGACACACTATGTGGGCTCAGATTGGAGATGACAGAAAAGAAAGTAAACTTGACAAAAGACTAATAGAAATGATCTAACCTGAACAATGAAAGGAAAAAAGGTTGATTAGAAACTGAACAGAAAACAAAACAAAACAAAACAAACAAACAAAAAGAAACTGAACAGAGCCTCAGGGGCCGGTGGGTCGATCAGAAAAGATCCAAAGTTGGTATCAGAATCCCAGAAGGAGAAGGTACAATACTTGAAAATGATTTGAAGAATGAATAGCTGAAAATGTACTGAGGATAGCAAAAGACAAAAGCTTACCCATTCAAACAGAACCCTACACAGAATATACTCAAAGAAATCCACATAGCCAGCCACACACACACTGTAATCTAGCTGCTGAAAGCTAGGCTAGGAGAAAACAAAATCTTCAAAGCGGCCAGAAAAATGATGCATTTTCTACGGGGAAACAATCTGAATGGCTGCAAATTTCTCATCGGAATCCACAGAAGTCAGAGGAAGAGGGACAACATTTTTTAAAGTGTTTAAAAACAGAGCTGTCAACCCAGAATTCCATATGCAGTAAAAATATCCTTCAGGAATGAAGGTGAAATCAAGACATTGTCAGATGCAGGAAAACTAAGAGAATGTGTTGCCAGCAGACCTGCTTTAAAAGAATCTCTAAAGGAAGCACTTCAGACAGAAGGGAAATGATACCAGAGGAGACCGGGAACACTAAGAACCAGAATGGCAAACCTCCGTGTAAATTTCTTAACAGACTGCTCATCTCCTCTAAGTTCTTTCAAACGCATTTGAGAGTCTAAAGCAAAAATTAAAACACTGCCTCTTAGGGTTTTGAAGGTATGTACATGTACCATCTCAGATGACTGGAACATAAAGAGATCTACGGAGCGACAGGGTTTCTGCGTTCTACTTGAAGTGGTGCAATACTGACTCAGGTCTGTCTGAGGAAAGACTTAATGGCTAGTTTCAAGGGGTTTCAGCCTGATCCATGCCTTACAAAGCTCCCCATCAATTTTTCATCTCATGGTTTCAGGAACCATTGATGATCCACATCTTCATCAGGGTTACAAAACAGACACTTTAAGTCTCTCCTTTTCCATTATAGTTCATTAAAAAAAAAAAAAAAGAACCCTTTCCTATGTTGGCTATTTAATTACTCAGAAGCACAATGCATCTAGAAAAAGGAGGCTAAATCCTTGATTCTCTCCTTTCATTTACTATTTCAAAAACAGTGAATTAGAACCATTATTTTTAGATGGTAGATATGCCAGAGGAAAATGCTGGCTTAATCCCTAATGATCTCATTTGGAATGGATAGAATTCACTCATTTAGACAATTAAAGACCAATATCCAAACATTTAAATCATACAGGGTCTTTAATATGACAGGGAGTATGTAGAATGGCACAGTCATTTAGAATGTACATACTATAATGTATCACACTTGCTTTTTATTGCTATTCAATTACTGTCTAGTATGTATATATGAATATATATATACACACACATATATGTACATATATACATACACATATATGTATGTATACACACACATATATGTGTGTATATATATATATATATATATATATATATATATATAAATTTCCCCTTAGATAAGATCCCCATAGACAGTAGGAAGAAGCTAAGATCAAGTTGAAACTTACTAAAGAACTTAATGAAAATAAAACAAGTATATCCTTAGACCTCCTAAGCCAAAGGTGAAATGCTAGTAAATACAGTCTTCCTTTCAACAGCTCAAGTTTTAAGTCACTGTCGGTTTTCAAAATCAACGACGCCTGGCCAGCCACCACACGAATCACATTTCAGATACAACCTGGTCTAACTGTCACAACAACCCAGGAAGCAGGCTCTTGGTGCCCCCATTTCACGAGAAGAGGAAACCACCGTGCAAGGAGATTACGTAGCACAGCCAAGCCACGCCTCATTAGCGCAGATGGGAAACCTGGAGCCAGACTTCCCAGCTCCAGAGTCATTTTGTTCAATCAGGCTGCTACCCTTTCAGTGACCTGTATCCCGCTGCTAAGGGGTGGTTCTGCTACGCTACTCACCATTCAACAATCTAGCCATTATGTCATGTTTTTGCCATCTGAGATCCAGAAGATGAAAAAAGGCAACAGGAGAAGGCACACGGGAGAGTTACCGACTTCCTCCCTGGTGGGGGTGGCAATCATTGTTCCCTGGGGGGGCATAAATGGTCATCCTCCTCTTCAAGGGCTTAAAACAGAACCAATGGGGTAAAGGGAAGTTGACTTCTCAAAACAATCACTGAAGTCATTAAAGCTTTTGTTTTGAAATAAATTTGTCACATATATAACAATTACATTCATAACAATGACAATCCTAATGAGTAACATGTGTACATACATACATACACATACATAGATATACACAGGGAGAAAGAGAGAGGGAGAAAGGACGGGCACAAAAAAGCCCACATATTACGTGTGTTATTCTGGGCAAATTTCATTTTCCATTTTATATCTTCTGTATTTTGCAAGTTGCAAAACCATTGCTGGGAGAGCCAGTACAGCACCAAGGCTGGGGAAGAGATGCCCGAAGGCCACTAAAGCTGACGCATGAAGTAGTTCTGGACACAGGGATGCTGCCCGGGGAGGGACTGCGTGCATTCGGGCCATGGAGTATGAAGCTCAACATCAGAGCTGCCAAGAGGCAAGGTGGGGCAGAAAGAACGAGAAGGGGGTGTGTCTGTCTGTGTGGTGATGCCCTGGAATATTATACAGCAAGGAAAAGGAATCAAGGCAGTCACAAGACAAGAAGAACTTTAGCTTTCTATAGTATTTGCGTATTTTTTTCAAAAATATATTCTTTTAAAAAATTTTAACATTTATTTATTTTTGGGAGAGAGACAGAGAGACAGCATGAGTGGGGGAGGGGCAGAGAGAGAGGGAGACAGAACCTGAAGCAGGCTCCTGGCTCTGAGCTGTCAGCACAGAGCCTGACGCAGGACTTGAACCCACAAACCACCAAATCATAACCTGCGCCGAAGTCAGATACCTAATTGACTGAGCCACCCAGGCGCCCTTCAAAAATATACTCTTATGACATAAAAAAAAACCTTTTTTAAGAGAGGCAAACCATGAGAGATTCTCGAATACTGAGAAAAAACTGAGGGCTGATGGGGGTGGGGGGGAGGGGGGTGATGGGCATGGAGGAGGGCATTTGTGGGGATGAGCACTGGGTGTTACATGGAAACCAACTTGACAATAAACTATCTGTAAAAAATAAAATAAAATAATTCAAAGTAGGAAGGAAAGCAGGCACATGAACACGGGTGCTGTGTGCGAGAGTCAGAAGCAGGGAATCAGCTCTGACATTCAGGACCCGAGTGATGCTGGACAGGTTCACCGACGTCCCTACACCTCAGATCCCTTATTTGTTACCAAGGATCGCATGCTGCACCTGCAGAGCTACAGTACTGAAGACAAAGTACGCCCGAGACCCAAGTGCCCAGTAGAGACCCCAATAAATGGCAGCTGAGTATTCACCCATTTGCGCAAGAAAGAAGCAGTGAGGACCGGGACGCAGGGGCGGCGGGTGGGGGGGGACAACGCAGTGAGGATGGGACGTGGGACATGGGGCGGTGAGGACGGGACACGGGGGACGGGACGTAGGAACGGACACGGGGGAAGACGCGGTGAGGACGGGACGCGGGGGACAGGGCGTAGGAACGTACACGGGGGAAGGGGCGGTGAGGACGGACACGGGGGACGGGGCGTAGGAACGGACACTGGGGAAGACGCGGTGAGGACAGGGCGTAGGAACGGACACGGGGGAAGACGCGGTGAGGACGGGGCGCGGGGGAAGACGCGGGGCTCTGGCCCATGAGAGGGAACAAGGCACGGCGGCCTGGCGCCCCGGCACTTACTACAGTTCTCCTCATCGCTGCCGTCGGGACAGTCCTCGAAGCCATTGCACTGGAAGCGGCCAATGATGCAGTGGATGCCGCTGGCACAAGGGAAGAACGTCGGGCCGCACTTGGACTTCGCCTTGGCTACAGGAGGAAATGCAAGACAAACAGCAGGTCACTGGGAGGTGAAGCTTCCTGACCACCACAGGCCCATGCCCATCCCTGCAACTGAGTGCGCAAATGAGTCCTTTCCCCAGTACCCTGAAGTCCCCAGAGGTTTCTTACCACCTCCACCCCCCTCCGATGCCCGGCCAGATTGGAAGCCCTCATGCATCATCCTCCCGGAAGGGGGAGGCTGATCCTGCTGTGTTTACACACCCTTGCACCAACATTGCTCAACCAGTATGTGCTGGACAAAGGAATGAATGGGCAAGCAGTTGCGGTGATGGACGGAGCCTGCTCTAAGTGCTAAGGAACCATTCAAAATTCGTTCCCTGACTGTCAGAGTAATTGTCTGCATTTATTAAATGCTTCCCATACTAGACAGCATGGCCAGGGCTTTACACGGATGATGTCGTTTAATCCCCCCAGCTAGCACCAACGGCATGTGTGCAGAAGAGAATTACCGCCGCAGGCCCAAGACGGCTACCCTTGAGTAAGGCTTGCTGACCTGCAAGGCTGGCCCTGGCCTGGCTGGTCTCAGGGACCTGGGGTTTCGGGAGGGTTCACACCACTTTCTCGTGAAAATGGCTCACTGTACCCAGACTCTTTACACAAACAGTGCAGCTGATGCCGAACACCCGCTTTTCTTCCGGGAGTCTGGGATTTTGGTACACGCCGGACAGACAGCGCCTGCATACCTAGCCCCCAGGAAAGACCCCGGGCACCGAGTCTGTAATGAGCTTCCCCAGTGGAAAACATCTCACACGTGTTGTCACAACTGGTTGCTGGGGAGCTAAGTGCACCCTGTGTGACTCCACAGGGAGAGGACTGGAGGCTTGAACTTGGTTTCCCCTGGACTTCACTCTATTTGCTTCTTTCCTTTGCTGCTTTTGCTCAGTGTCCTTCCGCTATGTTAAATCGTATGACTGTATGCTGAGCTCACTGAATCCTCCCAGCAAATTATTGAGCCTGGGGACAATCTTGGGGGCGTGGACAAAGATGGGTACGGCTCTTATCCCGTTTTGGAGGTGTGCTTTGGGCACAGCTGGAAAATTTGACCCTGGGATGAGCCCTCCGGCACTCAGATTCCAGAAGCCAAGCTCTCAACCAACTCAACCATGCTGCCTCTCTGCCAGTCTGTCACTTCTCCCAATAGAAGCCAGACTCCTGCTCGGAGAAATCCTTCTTCCACTCCTGCTGTACAAACAGTTTTAACGGAAACTGCTGTAACTCGGGCTTGATTGAGTGTCCCGCTAACCAAACAGCCCTGTGGGGTAATGTACTTTCCCGTTAATGGTGCCGGCTGCTCTGGCTCATGATTACGAGGTGTAAGATAGCATCTATTGCCGCATCCCAGGCAGCTGGTTCCGACTAGCATCCCTCCCATCTCCTGCCCTCGAGGCAGACCCAGGGTCCTCAGGAAGGAAGGGCCATTTCTTGGGAACAAACAGGCAGTAAATTACCTTCCTGTTCCTGCCATCAGTAGCATGCCCACTTTTGTGGCACAATCCACAATCAACAGGGTTTTAAAGGCCTGAGACGTGCCTCGGTTTTAAAAACCCACACTACTCTGTTTCAACCGGGAACTTCTGCAATGGGGCCGGCGTGCTCTTCAAAAGCACAAACTTGGGAGATGGCATCCTGGATTCAAATCGTGGCTCTACTGTCTATGAACTCGGGCAAGTTTCTAAATATTACTGAGCCCCAGCTTCCTCATCGGTAAGTTGGAGGTAACATCTACCTCACAGGGCCTAGGAAGGGTTTGATGAGATCATCTTTATAAAATGCTTAGCACACACCATGGTATGGTTGGTGCTCATTAATGGTAATGCTTCTTCTATTCTTCATCTTTAATTATAGAATTTTAAAACTTGGGCTCCTAATTTTTTTTTTCAGATTACCAAAGTTAAGAAAGCTCATTATGGAAGACCTCTATGAATTGGTACAAAATGATCTCCAGCACACACTGTTAAGTGGGGGGGGGAGCAAATTGCAAAAGAGTATCTACAGTATTTTAATTATCTTACAGCAAAAGAAAGGGATATAAGAAAATGTACCTGGAGTGGCTCACCCGTGCATAAGAGACACAGGAAGGACACCCCAGAAACTGGAGACTGCTTACCCGGGGGCGGGGTGGGAAAGGGCTGGAACGAGGCAGCCATGATGAGAAGGGTCACATTTCTTGGAGTCTGTATGGCTCTGAGTCTTAGAACCCTAATGTCTCAGGTGACTGCGTGGCTCAGTTGGTTAAGTGTCCGACTCTTGATTTCGGCTCAGGTCAGGATCTCACGGCTCGTGAGAGCAGGCCTCGCATTGGGCTCTGCACTGACAGCACGGAGCCTGCTTGGGATTCTCTGTCTCTCTCTGTCTCTCTCTCTGCCTCTCCCTTGCTCTCTTTTTCTTTCTCTTTCAAAAATAAATAAACATTAAAAAAAAAAAAAACCCGACTATTCACATAGCCAAACAGTAAATAGTTAAAATCATCCACATGTGTTTATGTAGGGGAGGTTCAGAATGGGACAGAAACAGTGAAGTGAATGCACCTAGATGACAGATGAGTAAGCCCACCACACCAAAGGGTGAGGGGAAGAGCTGAACCCCCCAATTCAGCACACTGTTATTTTGACTGGATTCTATAAGGCTAAGAAAAAGAGAATTATACACAAATATGGCATTCTACTTTTATCTGTCACCGGGGTATGGATTAGCCGTTCTGAAACTACCTTTGTGTGTACTCGGATTGAACAAATAAGTAAATATACTGCAGATAATAACAGCAAGGCTTCTCACTCTCAGAGGAAGAAGTTACAAATAAGGAAAGTAGAAAGGTTAAATGATCCCTGAGGCTTTGGACTGGAAGAAAAGGCATCAGTATGAACTCAAGATTTGTAAAGACAAATAGAGAGAAAGACAGATAAGAAAGAGAAAAGAGAACTACTGACCTGTGTATGTGCATGGGTCAGTGTACATAATACATTTATTTCCTAGTTCCGTCTGCCAAGAAAGACACTCTAGTAGCAAATGACCACACGGGGCGCCTGGGTGGCTCAGTCAGTTAAGCAAATGACCACACCCAGCACCAGACCCTGATTCCTAAATACCATTACCCAATAAAGGGAACCAGGGCTTCTTGGAGAAGCATTTAGTTCCAGCAGGAATTTCAAGATGAACTTGATGCATCATGTATTATCAGAAAGTCAGGAAGTACTCAAAACATGATGAAGACACATCAGAAGGACACAGGGGTCAACCTGAAGGAGCTGCCCAATGGCTAAAGCTACAACACTCTGAGGAACAAAATAATGACAGTACGGGACTGTAACCTATACAATAAATATCTGTGAGTCCATACTGGTATCATACATCATTGGATAAATAGGTAAATGGGGAAGGAGGAAAGTTTTTCCTTATAGAAGAATTCCAATTATTAAATGTGAAGGGGATGTAGGAAACAGAAAGTCACCATTTTAGCAAAGACCAGAGTATCAACTGTTCCAGGCAGGACCCAACAATGGATGCTCAAATTAAGAGGCTGAGTTGGCCTTGACCTGGTTGCGCTTTGAGGGATCAGGGAAGAAAGGTTGTTTATAGCCTTTGACCTCTGAGAAATGTTCACTTGTAAACCTCTATTCAGAATATCACTGCCCTCCCAGCAGCTTAGAAAAGCCTAAAGCCCCCATCAGAGCATCAGGCAGCTCTAGACACGTCTCTAATTCACACCCGCACCCACTCTCCCTGCCCGGTTTCATGGGCTTCCTGGCTCCCAGGGGAGCTGCCTGGCACCGTCCTACCCCAGGGGGTGCACCCTGGCCCCCCCCCCCCCTGCACTGCCTTTCTCCAGGGTAGCGTGGCCCTCCATTCATTTAGGTATCTTGAACCACTCTACTGTCTACCCAGAAACTCTGACTCGCACTCTCCATCTCTCTAGCCCTCACTCTGTTTCTCTTTCTTCTCCTCCTAGGAAAGGATGTTACCAGCTTTGTGCTGTGCTGTGCTGCTGATGAACATACACTCATTCGAGTACTTTCATTCACCACTTCTGACAGAGCTGTGCTATACAGCGCCGACACCAGGTAATAAATGCTTGCCAAATACACAAATGAGCCTGTAAAACAATGAGTGGGATTGGGTAATGACGGCAAACTGGCTGAATGTTTACTGTGGGCTAAGCACGATGCTCTAGGTTTTACAAATATCAACCTCATTTACTCCTCACAGAAACCCATTTCACAGATAGGAAAACTAAGGTCCGGAAGTGAGGGAGCTTTACCACTGCTAATAAACAGAGTCCAGGCTCAAACCTTGCCCTTGATTCATCTGCTCTTCTGCCTCTTCAGAGATTTCTAAGCTCCAGTCCAGCTCCAAAGGACTGGACTTGAGACAAAGAAAAAGAATATGAATAATTATAAATGAACTAGCTACCGTTCAATTAACCAGCCTTTGGGCCCTGCCCCTGACCCCTTTTCGAGAGTTACTGAGGAGACCCGATGCTCAGTCGCGGTCTGTGTCAGGGAGCCCGTCCTGTTACGATTTACATCTGCACCACCGGACGCCTGCTACGGCAACCGGCGAGGCGCAGGACAGGCGGCCGGCCAAGCGCCTGGCTGAGGCGCAGAGAGAAGCCAGCCGCTGACAGCAGCTGTCGGCCCCTCCTGACCCGTACAACCCGCCGGCAGGCTAGAGGGGGTAGTGCTGGACCAAGTCTTGACTGTCCACCCCTGACCCCATTTCCATGACGGGGAGGTTTCAACATGAAACTCAGCAGCCCCGGGCAGAAGGCGGAAGCCTGACCTGTCTCAAATCGGCCTGACAAAGGGGGGACAGGATGACTCCACGCCACTAAATACCCAAGTTCACGGTTTTTCGAGGACTTGCCCCATGAACTTTCCAAGGTGGCAGCTTTCACCAGCCGTGGGACCCGACCCAGGGCTCTCCTGGAGGCTGGTTTATTTCCTGATCTGTGTCCTCTCCCTCCTTAGAGC